TCAGTATACCCTAAGCAGTCTTTCTAGTTTCTTCTACGCAACAAAAGACTCCGTTGTTCCTTCCTCCTCCCTTTCAAGCTCTGTTACCAGCAAAAATGGCAGCCTCAGCCTCTCTCTCCACCGCTTTCTCTCTCTATACACCCCACACCTTCCCTCGTTCTTCTTCGTCCACACCCACCAACCATTTATCTCTAAAACACACGGCCAGCCAACAATTTATTACCACCGCAAAACCATTCTCAAGAACAGCCGTTTCTTGGTGTCCTGTTTTTAGCTCGAATAAGAAATTTAGGGATTCGACAAATTTAAACGGTGTGTGTGAAGATGAGAAGCGTTCGTTTACTAAACTGTCTGTTTCGAGACAGCAAGAAAATCAGCCTCAGCAAGTATGTAGTAATTTTTCCTTTTTTCTTATTTTAATCAAACCCAGCATAGGTAATCGAAGATTCTACATATGTTCAGTTCTTGTTCTGTTTTTTTTGACACTGTTGGTTTGTTTTTGGATTAAGAATGATTTGAGCTAGATTTGATTATTAGATTGTGGATCAAGTACTTGGGGATTGTTCAGAGCCATGAGTTTTTCAGACTTTTCGCCCGTCTTTATATAGATTCTAACATTGTGCTGAGTTTGGAGAGTTTATGGGATAAAAATTGAATCTTTGGAAAAACTAGGTTCACGTTTGGGTTTTTTTGAAGTATTATGAATATGCTATACGGGTATTCGAGAATTGGTCCGCGAAATTTTGATGAATTTGAAAGAAATTGTATTGAGAAGTAATCTATATGGGACTTGTGATGCGTCTATTTCGGTCAAAAGGTCCTGTTCAAGATATCATCTTACTGCATTATGTAGAAATTGTCGACAATATGCAACATATAGCTAACTTGACAGAACCGATTAATTCGTGTGTTGCATTAGAAATTGAGAGAAATCGCAGATATATTGAAAAAAAAAAAGGCCACCAAACTTTCAAGATGGAAGTTATCCTATAAATGTTGTATTCATGAGAGTTGCATTTTCTTAAAGTGTTGTCTATCATTGAGATGGTAATACTACCAACCATATAAACGAAACTATCTAATGTAGCTAGTTTGTCCTGCATACCAATCATATCTACAGAAAATATTACAACTTCTATCACAATTTTGTTTTAATCTCAAAACATGAAGATGATTCATTTGTCAAACTTGCAGTTGGATAATGAAGAAGAATATGCAGCCAGTAAAAGAGTTCCACTCAAGCTGAAGGCCCTTATGCAGGCGTACAAGGAAGCAATCCTATTAGGTGATGGAGGGACAATATATGAAATCGAAGGTTTGATATTCGCCGTAGAAAACGAAAAAAATGAGTTGGCACAAAAAGTTTTGGCCATGTCAGCAGATATATCTTCTGGGAAGGAAAAGTACCTTCGCGTGCAGGCAGACTTTGATAATTATAGGAAAAGAGTAGAAAAGGAAAGGCTAACTGTAAGAACTGATGCCCAAGGTGAAGTGATGGAGAGCCTCTTGCCAATGGTCGACAGTTTTGAGAGAGCCAAACAGCAGCTCAAGTTAGAGACTGAGAGGGAAAAGAAGATTGATACAAGCTACCAAGGCATATACAAGCAATTTGTGGAGATTATGAGGAGCTTGCGAGTGTCTGTGGTCCCCACTGTGGGAAGGCCGTTTGATCCTAAGGTATTATGATATGACTAAGACTTCTGAAAATCTTTCCTTCTCTCATTTTCATTCATAAAAAAGTTCAACTTTGTATTAGGGTCTGGTGATGCAGATAGGGTAGATCTTGGAATATCTGACCGGAAGAATAATATAGTATAAAACTTTTTTTTTTTTTTTTTTAACTGGTGATATATGATACACACTACTTTTTCCTAATCATAAAACTTCGAACAATTGAAGCTAATAGGTTAAGATTCACTGATCAGTAATACTGTGAAGGCAGCTGAGGAACCTTGAGGCATTTACTGGTCATGACTCGTCTATTTAGTAGACAAATTTGAAACTTAGAAATACTGATATTGAATGTTTGAGCTACTAGCTGCTGATTATGATTAGTACATTTTACTGCGAGAGAAGTTGTTTATGCTTGTGGCTTCATCGGAGAGATCTCAATCCTTTTATTTTATTTTATTTTTTTTTTCCTGGATGGATGCATTTAGCCAAATATTTCACTATTATTTCTTGGTTCTTGAAAAACAGACAATCAAATTAAGAGCTCGAGTCATCTATAAATACTGTGAAGAAAATTACGATATTGCTAGTTGGTAACCATTATGTCATGTCTAATCGTTAGTTGCACCTTTGAAAGAAAACCAAGATTTCTTCTCTTTTATTCTCTTAAGAGAAAAAAAGGCCAATCTTGTTAAATATACAGTCTATAACATATGAATATATCAATTGCTAATCTTTCATTATATGAGGTTCATGCTGGGCTTCATATTCTCTCCTTAAATCACAACTCATTGATGGTATGCAGATGCACGAGGCCATTGCGCGTGAGGAGTCGCAAGATTTCAAGGAAGGAATCATAATCCAAGAATTTCGTAAAGGGTTTTATCTTGGGGAGCGTTTATTAAGGCCGGCCATGGTTAAGGTCTCATCAGGGCCCGGAAAGAAGCCCACTTCAGTGCTGGATCAGTCATCTGCGCAGCAAACTTCGGTTGCTGGTATTGATAACCGATAAAAATATACTCTCAGGCACTTGGGCCACACAGTAGTTTTTTTATTTTTTCGCATTACTCGAAAGTAATTGCATTTTTACAGTTCAAATTCGATTAAGTCAGATCAAGCAGGGGTGTAGGGGAAAGCTCAAGACAAGAACTTCTTTTTCTTTTGATTCATTTATTTATTGGCACTAAAAAAGCAACATAATTATTAATAGCGATGAAATACATAAAAATTATGATTCAATACATATAGGAAGAAACGAAATCAGATTCTTTTTGAAACAGAACAAATCCGTCAGTCGAACCAAGACAAATACGAAACTAATGATACACGAATGGAACTGGTGGATTTTCAGCCTATTTTAAGATGCTGCATTGTAAGTTTGGGTTCAGAGTGTTCTTCACATCCAAGTGGATTCTAAATCTTGATCATCTTCATGTCCTAAGAAAAGGCTCCTCATTTGTGGAACACACTTTTCTTGGGTGCCTTTGATTTCTTGTGACCTTGATACTGCAACAACATTTTGTAAAACAGGTTTAAACTAAAAACCAAAAAAGATGGAAGTAGCTAAAAAAATACAAGTCCCACAAACATTTTCGGCGCGCACAATACAAAACTCACCTTTCATTTCCTTCAAGGCTCCCACAAGATCAGTCGGGATAGAAAAACGAACGAAACCATAGCCCTTTGTCTTGCCAGAACTCTTATCTCTACAACCTAACCCGAAAACAAGCCATCTACAGTTCTTAAATTAACATGACAGTGCCCATGAAAATTTACAAGTAACTCTCACGTAAATAGATCCGGACTTTTTTTTTTTTTTTCCTCTGGGTTTAAACTTTAGTAAATATATACACATCTCACGCAAATTTATAAGTACAACTGACAACACAACACAACACATTTGCCGTTTTCATCGAGAATCAAGAGGCGACAAAAAGGCAACGCCAAGACACAGGTCTTGGACGTTTTCAGAAAGGTCGATGTCAATATTCCCCAATTGACGCCTTATGGCATATTCCAAAATATGCAAAAAATTTTAAACACTTGTCTACGCTTAAGCGCCCGTTGAAAGGGGGCGAGAAAGTAATGATGGGAGAGAATGTCTCAGCTATGTTTCAGAAGAGTCTCCCACAAAAAGAGTGATCTAGGTATGTTTTTCATTCGTTGCGTAATCGATGATTTAAACATAGAACGGGTCTATGTTAGATTTGGGTGCTTCGATAAATGTCATGCAACATTCTATTTTTTATTTGAATTTGGGTCCTTTGAAGCAAACCGATGTTATTATTCAACTTCCTGATCGTAGTACCACTTTTTTCGATGGTGTTGCTGAGGATGTTCTTGTGAAAGTTAATGATATTGTATTTCCGCTGATTTTTATGTGTTAAGCATAGATGATAAGTCCTCAAACTCCAACCCAATTTTGTTGGGAAGACCATTTTTTAAAGCAACCCAAGCGTGGATTGATATCCGGCAGGACACTATTACGATGGAGTTTGATGGACATGGCATCCAAGTTCAACATTTTTTATGGTATGAAATATAGTAATGATTGTGATGATGCCGTCTATATGTTTGATATTATTGACCCTTTAGTACATAAAATTATGGAGACTTATGGTCGAAAATGATGAGCTAGGAGTGGCAATCGCGTCGAGCATTGGGTGCGGCAAACTGTTACCGCCCCCTAACAAGGATGTGGCCGATTTTTGCGAGCAAGCCAAGAATTGAGGGAGATCGTCATGGCATGAGAGAAAACATGTTCATCCAGGTACGAACTTAATTTTAGTACACTACCATAATCTTACAAGAAAATATTTTGCCATCTACCGTGCAGGTTCCAAAGCTCGAATTAAAATCTTTGTCGACGCATTTGAAGTACATGTACGCATTTGAAGTCCATGTACTTGGGAGACAATGACATGCTGCCCGCGATCATTTCAACATGTCTAGATGTTGACGAGGAGACGTCGTTGCTCCAATTTGTATCTATTTGAGTTGTTCCATCTCGAGAAGGGAATTATGCCACCAAACAATACCGAGGGACCAATTTTTGCACAAAGATACAATGTAAAATCTATACTGCTCTTATTGTCGCTTCACAAATTCTTCAGTATACCCTAAGCAGTCTTTCTAGTTTCTTCTACGCAACAAAAGACTCCGTTGTTCCTTCCTCCTCCCTTTCAAGCTCTGTTACCAGCAAAAATGGCAGCCTCAGCCTCTCTCTCCACCGCTTTCTCTCTCTATACACCCCACGCCTTCCCTCGTTCTTCTTCGTCCACACCCACCAACCATTTATCTCTAAAACACACGGCCAGCCAACAATTTATTACCACCGCAAAACCATTCTCAAGAACAGCCGTTTCTTGGTGTCCTGTTTTTAGCTCGAATAAGAAATTTAGGGATTCGACAAATTTAAACGGTGTGTGTGAAGATGAGAAGCGTTCGTTTACTAAACTGTCTGTTTCGAGACAGCAAGAAAATCAGCCTCAGCAAGTATGTAGTAATTTTCCCTTTTTTCTTATTTTAATCAACCCCAGCATAGGTAATCGAAGATTCTACATATGTTCAGTTCTTGTTCTGTTTTTTTTTTACACTGTTGGTTTGTTTTTGGATTAAGAATGATTTGAGCTAGATTTCATTATTAGATTGTGGATAAAGTACTTGGGGATTGTTCAGAGCCATGAGTTTTTCAGACTTTTCGCCCGTCTTTATATAGATTCTAACATTGTGCTGAGTTTGGAGAGTTTATGGAATAAAAATTGGATCTTTGGACAAACTAGGTTCACGTTTGGGTTTTTTTGAAGTATTATGAATATGCTATACGGGTATTCAAGAGTTGGTCCGCGAAATTTTGATGAATTTGAAAGAAATTGTATTGAGAAGTAATCTATATGGGACTTGTGATGCGTCTATTTCGGTCAAAAGGTCCTGTTCAAGATATCATCTTACTGCATTATGTAGAAATCGTCGACAATATACAACATATAGCTAACTTGACAGAACCAGTTAGTTTGTGTGTTGCATTAGAAATCAAATCGCAGATGTATTGAAATAAATGCCACCCATCTTTCAAGATGGAAGTTATCTTATACATGTTGTATTCATGAGAGTTGCATTTTCTGAAAGTGTTGTCTATCTTTGAGATGGTAATATTACCAACCACATAAAAGAATCTAATATGGCTAGTTTGTCCTGCATACCAACTTTTATCACAAATGTGTTTTAATCTCAAAACATGAAGATTCATTTGTCAAACTTGCAGTTGGATAATGAAGAAGAATATGCAGCCAGTAAAAGAGTTCCACTCAAGCTGAAGGCCCTTATGCAGGCGTACAAGGAAGCAATCCTATTAGGTGATGGAGGGACAATATATGAAATCGAAGGTTTGATATTCGCCGTAGAAAACGAAAAAAATGAGTTGGCACAAAAAGTTTTGGCCATGTCAGCAGATATATCTTCTGGGAAGGAAAAGTACCTTCGCGTGCAGGCAGACTTTGATAATTATAGGAAAAGAGTAGAAAAGGAAAGGCTAACTGTAAGAACTGATGCCCAAGGTGAAGTGATGGAGAGCCTCTTGCCAATGGTCGACAGTTTTGAGAGAGCCAAACAGCAGCTCAAGTTAGAGACTGAGAGGGAAAAGAAGATTGATACAAGCTACCAAGGCATATACAAGCAATTTGTGGAGATTATGAGGAGCTTGCGAGTGTCTGTGGTCCCCACGGTGGGAAAGCCGTTTGATCCTAAGGTATGATATGACTTCTGAAAATCTTTCCTTCTCTTGTTTTCATTCATAAAAAAAGTTCAACTTGTTATTAGGGTCTGGTGATGCAGATAGGGTGGATCTTGGAATATCTGACCCGGAAGAAATAATCTAGTATAAAAACTTTTTTTTTTTTAACTGGTGATTTATGATACACACTATGTTTTCCTAATAATAAAACTTCGAACAATTGAAGCTAATAAGTTAAGATTCACTGATCAGTACTACTGTGAAGGCAGCTTAGGAACCTTGAGGCATTTACTGGTCATGACTCGTCACTCGTCTATTTACTATTTAGTAGACAAATTTGAAACTTAGAAAAACTGATATTGAATGTTTGAGCTACTAGCTGCTGATTATGTTTAGTACATTTTGCTGTGAGAGAAGTTGTTTATGCTTGTGGCTTCACCGAGAGATCTCAATCCCTTTTTTTTTTTTT